TTGTTTGAAAGATTTTATAGTGCAGGTTTTGGTAAAGTTTTTTTAATAAAAAGTTGATAACCACAATGCACAAATTTCATTTGAATCCCAAGGTTCTACCCCAATTCCCTTCAGACATGCTCTTATCATCAGTAATACTTACGCAGATCTGCCTTCCACATCTAGTTTGACGGGACTGACCCCCTTTTTAGCAAGGATTGAGGACACTTTTTCTACATCCCCCCTTTCTGCTGCTTTCATCAGTCGGTCATCATATTTGTTCCAATCTGCTGCATGCTACAAAAAGAAAAGAAAACATAACATACTATATTAGTAAGATTTTCTAAAAAAGGAAGGAAAAAAGAGAAAGCAGTACTGCACATCACTTATTTTTCAATTACATCCCAAATTTTCTTCTCCTTGCTGTGCTAAATTCACTAGAAGAGCAGAGTTATAAGCCTTCCCCAAACACATGATATACAACAAATATATTATACGATTTTTTTTTTTTTTTTTTTTTTGTCTTTTCTCGTGACCGGTAAGGGAATTTATAAGCCTTCCCCAAACACATGATATACAACAAATATATTATACGATTTTTTTTTTTTTTTGTCTTTTCTCGTGACCGGTAAGGGAATCGCAACCCTTGGCTTGGTGTTGTCCGCACCGCGCTCAGCCAGTGAGCGCACCGGCCATTCCTATATAGGATCCGAACCCGCGGCCTTGGTGCTATCAGCACCGCACTCTCCCGAGTGCGCCACGGGGCCAGCCCTATATTATACGATATTTTTAAGAAAAAGAATGTTTTTCATATTCTCCGCCCGTTCCCTTTGCCTTCAGGGAAAAGAAACGAAAGTAATAGTTGTGGAACACCTACCCTGTGCCATGCATGAACATTTCAAACAACGCTAGTAAACTAAAATTATCATCTCCATTTAACAGATGGCAAGATTCAAGGCTCTGGGGGCATTAAATGGCTTAAGTGGCCAAGACCAACCATGACTTCTATAGTTCCAAAATCGGTGTGCTTTTCCTATCTCCTAACTCACACTTTCAAATTTGGCTCTGCTCACGCATCTCCCAGAACCCTTCGATGCAATGGAATTCAGTATACACTTTAAGAAACTATTCGTCCCCACCCTTTATTTAACAGGTACTGCTGGAAATATATTTTGGGAGGCAAATTATGTACACACACATATATACATATTTAATAGAGAAAGCAATCCACTATGCTTATATGTTAGAATAAAAAGAAACTTCTACATAGGAAAAAAAAAAACTAAAAAAACGATTCTAAAGTATTAACTACTTCAAATCCTAAAATAACAGGATTACAGGTGACTTTTAGTTCTGCTCTTTTATATTCAACATGTATTGCTTTTGTTAAAAAACAATTAATTTTAACAAAAACTTGTGTACATGTATTTAAAAGGAAAAGATCAAAGGCAGTTTCTTTAAATAGGAGAACGTATCACATAACATACATTTTAATTGTATCAAGGTTATCTTTAGCTTTGATTGCAGGAAATATATTCAAGACATTCTGAAGCCAATAACTTGGATCTTTTCTCAGGAAGCAGAAATGTCAGCGCACAGAACTAAAGTACACGTTAATTAAACAGGTAAGATTTTAACCCTTTAAAATATGATACCAACTTACTGCTAAATTTTGTGCTAAATCAGTATTATTTCTAGAACAAAAAAAGATCTACATATTTTTCATTTAAATTACAAAGTGAATCATATGCCCACAAATACCACAACAAACCTCTGGGGAAAAAAACTGAATCGCTTGCATATTCTCTAAATGTTTTCTCAATGTGATTATTTTATATCTACTATCCCCTCCAAACCAAAAAAGATTTTAAAAAGTCATCACCAATTTTCTAATAAGCAACCCACTGATTAAAAATGAATATGGAAATTGAATGTGGAAAAAAGATAAATATATTACATTTTTAACTCACTCCTGAAATTTAATATTTTAATGGAACCTAGTTCAACTACCTATACAAACTTCAGAATTATCTCTAAATTAATTAAATTTGGTGATGAATGCACTTCCTAACTTCAAAAGCTTAAACTGCCAACTATGAGTAGAGAATAGCCCTACTTATTGCCTCAAAAACTAAACTACATTTTAGGCATCACTTTTGTTTAGCTTTAAAACAAAACAAACAAACAAAAAACAGTTTACTGACTCTAATTCGGGGAGTGGTAGTAGATGTAGGTTTAAGAAACATTGTGTTTTCAAATGCCTAAGGAATTAAGTCATGTTTAGCTCACAAATACTCGCTCTAAATTATTAGTTTATATAAATTAAAACAATCTCAACTTTGTTTCCAAGTAAACTTGCTGGTAAAGAAAGAAGCTATTGAAATAACTAAAATGTTGTAAAAATCCAAAAGTAGTAGAAATCCAAAAGTAAGGCTTCTTAAAAGACAACTAAATGTGATTAAAATCTCATATTAGCATATAATTTTCAATTCTACTCCACTAAGCACCGCTTTCAGTTCTGGTCCAATGTCAGTTAACAGTAACACTTCTCAATTATTAAGATTCTATCATGTGCTTTTTAAAACCCTAAAAAGAAATAAGAACCTTTGTTTTCTATCACTGACCCCAATCTGTTAATCAAGTAAATCAGGAAGAAATAATAATACAAAGAAACAAAAATTAATAAAACAGTAGTACATTTTAAAAGAACACAGTTCAGAAAGCCTAACAGAATCTTTTGTTCTACTGTACTACTAGAATACCTACTCTGTTATCCGGAGCACAAGAAAACCAACAGTTCATCATAGACACGATTTAGTCTCTTGTGGCTAACAGCAAACTACTTTGCATTAAGTTACAAATCTCTGTAGCTCACAAAGCAAGTCCTCAGACAAACTCCTAACAAGTGACTCAGTCCCTCACATGCTGTGCTACACTTAGCTTGGGTCTCTAACGATATTTTCGTCATCTTCGGGATCCTTCTTCGCCTTCATAATGCTCGAAAATTATCTTCCCTGCTGCGCAGCACTTGATTAAGAGCAGCCCCAAGTCAGGTACTGTAACTCCTCCTATTTCTTATCCTTCAGGAGCTGTCTTTCAAAGTTGTCCCTTTCAGGGACCCCACTGGACAACTTGAACAGCAATCTGCATCCTGCTGCCTCAACATTGCAACACACATGCCACAGTGGATGATAAAACTGTCCACATCCAAATTTTCCAGTAAACAGTGTGCAGTCTGTCTCCCATTGGTCAGGTTCTATTTTAGATTCCATAGGACTTAACAGCTGAGTGATAGAAAGGAGCAGCTAAGAATATATTGTAAATGCATGCTTTTCCTCTGAGTAATAAATTTCAGGTCTACTGGGGAAAATGACAAAAACATATTGTAAAATGTGCTTATGTATCAAAACAACTTGTGTGGCACAATGAAAACATTGTTAAGAGTCAAATTTGGTTATCCCACAAAACAATATTTAAAACCAGTTTCACTTTCAGGATGATCTAACATGAATAGCCTTGACAAACAGAACACAAAATTCTATTTTAAGCAAATGTGTCACACTTTAACTTAAGGAAACACACAAACACACGCACCCAGTAACACTTTCAAATTTTCTTCCTTTTATTTCATATCCCTATCAGTCTCATTCTGCATACAACCAGGTTTCAGCTTACAACGGCTGCCAGTCTGTCTCCTAGCATGTTAAATGAGAAGAGCCAGAGGCACTGCCAAGACATTAAATATAATACATCATGATAAATAGTTTTCAACAAATTTAAATTTAACTCAGTACTCTTAATTTCCAAGTTTAGCACCCTGCCTGATATGACAAGTAAATATTTTATCAGTGGAAAGTCAAATTATCTGGATTCAGTGCATTAAAAAAAAAACAATGAACAAATTAAATGCTAAAGGAGGCAAATACATTAAACACTGGGCTACACTATAAATAAAACTACATTTAGGGACAAAGGAGACAACTTCTCCACATTCTCCGTGATATCCATACTTGTACAACATTCCATACATAACCAAGGCCAGTACACTCACAAGCTCAGAGTGTTTTTTACCATGTTCTAATTACCACAATAGCATGAAAATAATTTACACTTCCTCCAAAAAGACACATTCAAGAAAACTGCTTCATGGAAATGCAAAGCATTCCAAATACAAGTGTTTATAGGAAGGAGGTAACTGCTATACATCATGCTGTCAGTTAAAAATTCAGTTATGAACTTCAACAAGAAATCCATTTCCTACTATTTAAATGTAAAACATAAGGCCCATATACTAATTATAAAATATATAAGATCACACACCATAATGTATTATTTTTGGAACAATGTTTTTTCCCCAAACCACATGTAATAACACAATGGAGACTCCACCCAGTCTATCTCACCCTTCTTCAGAGGAAATCTGTGATAGAACTCAGGCCCTGTCCTTTGGTTAACAAAGCAAGCACATTCTTTCTAGAAATAGGACAGCAAAGGCAAAGGAAATAAAAAAGAAGGGAAAACTTGTAACGAGTAACGAATGCCATATAAGGAGCTGTCTATGCTCAGGAGATGGGATTTATGTGTCCTAGCGTACTATGGATGTCCTGAGCTGCCACCTCCCCAGCCTCTCTGGCTTAATCTCCTGCTCCTATTCTCACACCCTTCTATTTCCCAAGAGCCCTAACTAAATTCCTGCCTTTGGGTTCCCCTGTGCTGTAAAAGTTTCTTCCCTCCCCTTCATTCAGATTCTTCTCAAATATCATGTCCTCAGAGAGGGCTCCTCTGTATGTAAACAGCCCCTCCAACCCACCACTCTTTACCCTCGTACAGTTTTACTTTTCTTCAGAGTGCTTATCAGTATCTGCCATCACATCATATATCACATATATGTTATATGTATGATACCATATATTTATTGTCTATCAGCAGCCCCTCTAATTTGACTAGATATCTAAGATCTCTACTATGTCTGATTTGAAATTATAAAACTAAATTTTAAATCAGTAATTTAGTAGTCACCAGATTCTTACCTATGTTAAGGACCAAAATCCAACTCTGCTTCATGAATCCTCTTTTCTCTTGAACTAAATTGTTAATCAGGCCAGATCTGGAATACACATTTACTAGTGACATTGTTTCTCTCAATAAACGGTCCACATTCAGAAAATAAATATCTATTGACCTGAGATGACTGCAGGAAGCCATGAGTGGCTCAGTTGATTATAACTGAGCAAACCCTACTCCTTATAAAAGATCCTTCTTGAAACTTATCTCCTATACATTTACAACTCAAGTCTTTCCTCACCACTCTATGAATCCCACTGAACTCCTCAGAAAGCACTGTAAATAATGGTTGACAAATATGTTTTGGAGTCAGGCAAACCTGGGTTCAGACTCCAGCCCTGCTACTTACCTGCTGTGTACAAGTGGGAGAATTTATTTATACTTTCTAAGCTTCAGTTCCCTACAAAGCAAGGACAATAGAGAACTTATCTATATAAAATCAAATAGCTAATGCATATGACAGATCTCAGCACTGTGTTTGGCAGATATTAATGTCCCAAAATGGTAGACATTGGTGACTATTCCTAGTCAGAGACACTAATCAAAAGGAAATTCTTTAAAAAATTAACAAAGTAGTAAAAGAATTTCAAGCATTTATTCTGCCTTTCCTATGTTAACTGTAACTCAGAGTAACCAAATAGTTAATGTAGGTAAGTTTGTCTTTATAAAGGCATTACAACTAATAAAAAAAAAAAATAGAATTTCGCCATTTTGCAATCCCTACTCAATGGATCTAGGCAATGATCCTCAGTAGCTGCTAACATCACAAAAAGATAATCAAACCTTAAGTACCTCCTGATGGTCATAAATTCCACCACCCATGATGCAGTCTAAGCAAACATTTAAAAATAAAAACCCAACCAAACCTCTAGGGCTAACAATTTACAAGAAATACAGGGGACTAAGGAACATAATAAATTATGTCAGAAGGATTTCATCACAGGATGCAATCAGAAAGATCCAACATAGAGGAAACTATGGTTTCTTAAACAAAATATAGCAAGAAAAAAAGACAGAAGTGAAACTATAGATTAAAAGTGACTTCAGAAACATATCAACCAATCACAAGACACGGAACTTAAGTACACTGATTAAACAAACTACATCTTTAATAAAAACAATTGGGGAAATGTGACTATTGACTGGAAATTTGATGATATTAAAGAAATACAGTAAATTGAGGATTTTGGTGTAATGTTATAATTATTTTTAAAACTCTATGTTATAAAAATACATAATGAAATATTTTTAGATAAAACAATGCCTGGTATTTGCTTCAAAAATAATCAAAACAATCAGGTGGCAAATGGAATTCAACAGCACATTTGAAAGATTATTCATCATGACCAAATTAAACTTATTCCTAGAATGCAAGGATGGTTCAAGATATGAAAGTTAATCAGTGTAATACACCACACTAACAGGACAGAAATCACATGATCATCTCAATTGATGTAGAAAAAGCAAGATTTGACATCCTTTCCTGATAAAACACTCAATGCACTAGGAATAGATGGAAATTAATTCAACATAATAAAGATCATAAATGAAAATCCCACTCACATTATACCTAATTGTGAAAGACAAAAGCTTTTCTTCTAAGATCAGTCACAAGACAGGATATCCACTCTCACCATTTCTATTCCACATGGTACTGGAAGGCCTAGTCAGAGCAATTAGGCAAGAAAAAGAAATAAAACACATCCAAATTGTAAAGAAGAAGTGAAATTATCTCTGTTTGCAGATGACATGATCTTATATGTAGAAACCTTAAAGATTCCACATACAAAAACTGTTAGACCTAATAAACAAGTTCAGCAAAGTTATAGGATAAAAATTAACACCCCCAAATCAGTTGCACTTCTATGCACTAACAATGAAAAATCCAAAAACAAAATTAAGAAAACAATTCCATTTACAATAACATCAAAAAGAATAAAATACTTAGGTACAAATCTAACCAACTAGGTGAAAGACTTATACACTGAAAACTATAAAACATGTCTGAAAGAAATCAAAGAAGCCACAAATAAATTGAAAGACATCTCATGCTCATAGATTTGTAAGATGTAATGTTGTTAAGATGTTAATATTCCCCACAATGATCTACAGAGCAACAAAATCCCTACAAAATCCCAATGGCATTTCTTGCAGAAATAAAAAAAACCCATCCTAAAATTCATATGGAATCTCAAGGGACCTCAAGTAGGCAAACAATCTTGAAAAAGAAGAACAAAGTTGATGGGCTCACAATTTCTGATTTCAAAACATATTACAAAGCTACTGTTATCAAAACAGTGTGGTACTGGCATAAAGACAGATATATAAAACAACAGAATAGACTAAAGAGCCCAGAGATGAATCCTCATGTATATATTTACTCAAATAATCTTTGACAAGGGTGCAAAGAACACTCAATGGGGAAAGAAGAGTCTCTTCAACAACTAGTGTTGGGAAAACTAGATATCCACATCAGAAGAATGAAATCGGGCCCTTATTTTATATCAGATACAAAAACTGACTCAAAATGGATTAAAGATCTAAACTTAAGAACCAAAACTATAAAACTCCTAGAAGGAAACATAAGAGAAAAGCTTCATGACATTAAATTTGGCATAGGCTACAAAAGCAAAAATAAACAAGTGAGACTATATCAAACTTAAAAACCTCTGTGCAACAAAGGAACAATTGAGAGAGTGAAAAGGCCAGCTAAGAATGAGAGAAAATATTTGTAAATCATATATCTGATAAGGGACTAACATACAGAATAAATATTTTTTAAATCCTATGCCTCAATAACAAAAAATAATAGTAACTTGATTAAAAAATGGGCAAAAGAGTTAAATAGACATTTCTCAAAAGATAATATACAAATGGCCAGCAAGCATATAAAAAGATGCTCAACATCACTAACTATCAGAAAAAAAAACCCAAAACCACAGTGAGATATAACCTCACATTCATTAGGGTGACTACTATCAAAAAAAACAAAAAACAGGAAGTAACAGGTGTTTGCAAGGATGTGGAGAAACTGGAACCCTTGTGCACTGCTGTTGGGAATGTAAAATCGGACCACTATGAAAAACAGTATGTACATTCCTCAAAAAATTAAAAATAGAATTACCATAT